TAAGCAAGAAATGCTGGAAGTTTCCAGTAAAGGCAGGGCAACTGACCTGCCACAGGAATGGATGTAGCTGGCCAAAAAATGCCAAGTTGTTGGGTTTTTTCCTTTTCCTCACAGAAATCTCGACCTCTCCTTTGAAAAGAAACTCCCAAGCTCTCAGTAAAAATCGCCACCAGCTGTTCCAGATGGCTTGATTTACAGGACACCCCCCTCAAATGTTTTTAAATCAGAACCAAATTTTCTTGTCAAAAAGGTGATTTTTCTCCCACCTTCTTGTCACCAACTGGTTACAAAGAGCAGTTGGAGTGATATGGAGAGAAAAATAAGATTTCTTTTTACCTCTCTCTCCTGATAACCTCCAGTGAGTGCAATGCACGTATGTACCCAGATGAGCCCAAGGGGGTATTCTTTGCTCCAGAAAACAGCCATAGACTAGAGACGTGAAATAAGCAGCTGTGCTGTGATTTCATAGAAAGAATGGGAGAAAAAGGAAAAATTTCTCAAGGATGAGATCTGACGAAAACAGCCACTGGGTGACTGTAGAAAGCAGCCCTGCCAAGCGAATTCCTGGGATGCTTCTTCCTCACTCCCCGCTCTGTTCCAAGCAGGAAAGTGCCCGCCAGAAGCGGTCCAAGCCCACGCGACTGCAGTTGGACACATCAGGCAGGCAGGCTCACATGCTGCCGGGCTGCAACACAAGCCACTGCCTTACCTGCCTTCTCCTATAACTAACGTGCATTGAGTCGGAGGGAGAAAGGATGGGATAGCTGCAAAAAACAAGAAGAAAAGGAAAGAAAAAGCACTAGGGAAAAGAAAATTTAGGCTTCTTTTTGTATGCATTATTCTCTGGTAAGCCTGAGTGGTTGGAGCTCATGTAGAGCTTGACATACACCCAGGGCAAGTGTTTTAAAATAAAGATCCATGCTGCTATTTAATGGATAATATACTATCTGCCTACTCATGTCTCCAAATCTTCAACGGCAGTCTGTCATCTGCCACTTATTTGCTTCTGAAAAATGAATGAGGAGGGGTAGGGGTGACAGAAACAGAGATTTTAGTAGAGGAAAAGTTTGGGGCAAACCTTAGCGATAACATGGAAAATTTGTTGCCCTCTGAAATTCAGACCAAGCTGTCCCATCAAATTTAGTCAAGGCAGGGACCCACCAAAACTATTTCAATATCCTCACTATTTTACAGAAGGGCTGCACAATCATTCCCATGGGGAGGGGGGAAGAAGACACTGTATTAAGTTTTTAGATGCTTTATAAGAAGTTTCATTAAAGCACTGTTAAATACCCAAATGACTGGGCTAATTGCATCCCCCCCAAGCTCTGCAAGGTTTCCTTGCAGGGAACGTGCTGCTGCTACTACGTGCTGCTGCTACTCACCTTTCTTGGAAGCCACCGGTTTTTGCCGGACTTTGCCATTTTGCTGGCCGGAGACCTGGGCGAGGGAGAGGAGGCAGAGGAGCAGGCAGGCTCCCCGGAGCGCCATACCGAGTGGAGTTGGAGCGGCTCTGCTCTGCCCTCAGACAACTGCCTTAGCACCGGCTCGCATCAGACATGGCTGGTCCCGCAAAGGCGCCCCCCGTTTTTTTTTGGCAGCCTCCCGGCCCCAGGGGGGGGCTCAGGCGGCTCCGGCCAAGGCTGAAAACATCCCAGCGGGTTTGTGTTTCTCAGCACGCTGCTTGTTTTTGGTTTTGTTTTGTTTTTTTTTTTTAAAAAAGAAAGGAATGAATACTGAAAGTCTGCTAAGCTAAACATAAGGATAGGCTGTGAGTAGAGTTGGAATGATTTCCTACAGCTTTTAGCAAAATGCCATGAGTTTGATCTCGCGTATCAGTGACAGCACCGACGACGTGAGGTGCGAAGCGGCACCTGGGTGGCCAACGGAACACAGAGGGCTCAGGCAGCCCCTCGGCAGGGCTGCCCGCCAGGGATGCCAGCAGAGGTGGAGGGAATGCATGGGGGGGCCAAGCGCCCCGCTCCCCACTGTGGTGTGACACAAGGCCCTGCACAGCTGTTTCTGGTTTATCCCCATGGCAAGGGGCTGCTGTGACCCCCCTAGCCTGAGCAGCAGGGTCTGACCTGGTGTCTGCCTCCTTTTTCCTTGCACTGGTGGGTGGGGACGGGGTGTGGCTCCCAGCCCTGGGCTCGAATTGCCAGTTCTGGGGCAGTTCCAGCATAAATCACTCTCCTCCTGGCGATTCCCACCTTCGGGGGTGAGGACAGCTGTGTTGGCCATACAGTCCCCTACCCCTATGGCAATTTTGCAAGGACAGGGCTGGTCAGTGCTGTGGGGCTGCCCAGCAGCAGCATCACGCTGAGACCTCGGAGGTGCCTGGGTGGCACCTTCCAGGGGTGCAAGACTCCTTTGGTAGCAAACACGTTCCCACCACCAGACTACACAGTGGCTTTACCGGCTTTTCCTTTTCCAAAACCACTTTCAGTTCTGTAGGATAGGAAACCAAACAGCAGCTCCACAGGTTTTAACCAAACCTGACAGCTGCTCATCATGTTGCTCTTTAACCCTTCCCTGGGAGCTGGAAGTGTTTTGGCTCTGCCTAACCCCACTGAGCAGTAGAAAGTGGAGATCTCAACCTCTACACCTTTGTCTCAAAAGCGATCTGAAAAGTGACTGTTTTGGCAGGCCTGGGAAAAAACATGGATGAAGAAAGCTGGGAAGACGTTCCACCTGCTACTGCAGATGCCCCACTAAGAGGAAAGCTGCTCCATCTCCATATGAAGTGCATTGCATCCACCTGGTGCTGGACTGCTTCCCTGCCTCCTCTGGCAGCACTCACACCTTTGAGAGTCAAAATCTATGGGCGCATTTTGCACTTAAGAAACCTGGCACGTGCCAGGGTCAATAATCCAAAGTATCTCATGGCCAAGCCTGTCAAAGCACCAAGACACTTCATGAGGCATGGTGGCTCTGAAAAGCTGGTCAATGCTTCACATCCACCACCCTGGAGTCGGGCTAAGTACATGGGGGGGTGGGGTGGGGTGTGTGTCTTTCCTGGGGGCACCTGAGTGGTTAGGTTACCAAAAATACTTAGAAATTCGGGTCTTCACTCAGTTTTGTGAACCTTCAGGCTTCTAAATATCCCTAGAGCTGTAACAGATGACCAGGATAAGCTGGACTCAGGATGGGGGAACACATGCCACAAAAAGCCGTTCTCCCTGGGCCTGATTTTTTGGAGCTGCTGGGCTGCGCTAAACAGCACTAGAGCCTAAACCAAGACCACTGCCTGATTTTTTGGGTGCTGCAGTGAGTCTTTCCTGCAGGAATAAATTGAGCAAGTGGAGGAAATTCATGGAGAGAGGAGAGGAGGGACTGGTGTTTTGGGGAACTAAGTGCTCCGGACATCGGCCATTAACCTTAAACCTTTTCTAAAAAATTAAGGCAAGATGCCACTCAGCACAATGTGAACCACTGGAATCGTAGGAGCATAAAAGGTCCCAGATAAACAGGGGTGTGGCTGGAAAAAGAGCTGCTGTTGATTTAGTTTGGCCACAACTGTGTTACCCTGCCTTGCACTTTTGCTGAATAAGGAAAACCCTGCCCTTACATCCTACCTGAAGAGCTCCCTTGCAGTCCAAGCTTCTGAAGCCAAGGAAGAACGGGTTTGATTTTCACTCCCCTTTACCATATGCACCCAACCCCACCCAAATTTAAACCACAAAATATATATTTTGGGGATTTACCGTTCTCCTGCCTGGACTATCCCACAATGGGATGGAGACCAAGAGATGCCAGACACCAACATACACATACATGTTCCCTTCTCTTGATACTTGAGTAGCATTTACCTATCCAAAGTACTTTTGGCAACTCAGCACCTCCCAGCTTTCCTTGGCCCCAGATCTGCTCACCCGCCTTTGCTTTGATTCATGTCTTGCCACGCTGTGGAAAAAATAAAATGCTCTTTTTGCTGTGCATGAAACAGATGGCTCTGCTTTGGAGTCTGACAGCAATCCCTAACCACCAGTTTCTGGGTGTCTGGGACCCACCAGAGGGTTGCATTTCTCTGACTCCCCAGCTGAAATGAGAAGGGCAGGGTGGCTTTCCATTGGCCTCTGAAGGACAGGTCTGCAACCAAGGGGGCCTCTCCCTGCACCAACCAGCAGGTCCTGTGCTGGATGCCACCATCATTTTTCTTGAAAAAGAGAAAGATGGAAAGTGTGATTCTGTGTCTCTGGCTGTAACACTGATCCACAGGTGGGTTTGCTCCAATTCTGCCCTATGTAGACTGAAAAAAAAAAATCCTTGTCATTATAAAAGCTCATAAACCCCCATGAACCCATCCGATAGGAGCAAGCTCCAATGTTGCTGCAATGGGCCCAGAACAGGGATGACACAGGGAACAGCCACCTAAAATCCAGA